ATTCATCTGACATTATGGAAAATGTAGTTGTAAAAATCTTTGCAAAAATAATATTTCCCTGGATATCAAGTCGGTTCTTCAGGATCGGCTTCCCAAAACAGATTTGCCAAATTGAGGGATGTAATGAGTTCTGTAGTCTAGGAAAAAACAAAACAAAACAATGCTACTATTTTTTACAAGCAATGTAAAAAATATACTCCAAGTCCCCAAAGCTTTGCTAGCTTTGGCTTCTCAAGTATCTATTATTAATAAGTTAATATATGTGAAGTAATATGCGGAACTATCTTAACTTGAAATCCTTTAATTATTACAAAAATAAAACATTTCCCTACTACTTGTATTTCCCTTGTACAAACCATCTGTTCAGACCCCTTAAACCATCTGTCCAGCAGACTTGAAGCTTGCCCACATAGATAATAATAACTCTTTTTCTATAGAATATTAAATGTTTATCTGTGTGTTTATTTCAGAGCTCCTCTGTTCTTATCTTTTTTATTCTTCCCATTTGGAACTAGTCATTTGTTTTTGTTCTTTATTTTGTGATCTGTGTATATTTAAATTTGCATGTACCTTAACTTGTCAACCACATCATTTATTAACTTCACTTATTGCTTTCATTGTTAAAAATTCTAATTCTCCTGCCGCCACCACCTTTGACTCACAAGGACTTACAGTTTACAACCAAACGAGCAAACAGAAGGATTTCCTTTCTTGGTGGGACATGCAGAACTTGGGGTGTGTATATATAAATATATAATATATATAAATATACATAATACTGACTTAAAAATTTAAAAAAATTCTTTTTACCCCAAACTACATATGTGTAGCATTGTTATTTCATGTATACACTTGCAAATACACACATATATACATCCACATGCTACATTTAACTCAGATATTCTTTTGTTCAAAGGGAGTTATCAATCTGAGTCTTAGACTCTAAGATGAGCTTCTCTGTATCAGTAATCACTTTCTCCAAATTTTGGAATTCACCGAAAGGAACACTGAGCTGAGACAAACTGGGATTTTCTGCACTGAGTCTTGTTTTAGACCAGACTCTCTTTTTTTTCACAAAGTCACAGTCTTAAATTCATTTTTTAATGCTACTTGGGATTTTACTTGAGAATGTAGCTAGCTGGGTTAAGCTTCTACTATTTCTGAATATTTTCTTAATTCTAAACTTTAGGAGAGTTTACTAACCCTTCAGCCCATTAACAGTGTGATCTTCAACCAGGTACTTAACCTCCTAGGATTTGGATCTGTTTCTTTATTATTCAGATATGAAATTAGACGAATATTGCAAGAAAAAAATACTACAGAACTAACACTCCTCATGAAAACAGATGCAAAGTTCTCATCTTCCATGGGATCCAATAATATAGAAAAACAATAATAAAGTGAGTGTTGTTGCAGGAAGACTAAACAAATAAATTGATTTAACATTTAAATCAACTTGGCATAATATTTTAAAATAAATCAAACTAGGGGCTGTGAAGGTGGCTCAGTGGCAGAGTGCTTGTATTGCATGCATGAGGCCCTGGGTTCCATTCCTCAGCACCACATAAGCAGAAAAACCCGGAAGTGGCACTGTGGCTAAAGTGGTAGAGCGCTAGCCTTGAGCTGAAGACCTGAGGGACAGTGCCCAGGCCCAGAGTTCAGGCCCCACAACCGGCAAAATAAATAAATAAACTAAATAAATAAACTAAAATCAAAAGGAAACAAAGAAAAAGGTGTGGCTATACCAATAATGACATTATCACTGAGAGTGGTAGTACTCTCCTGTAATACCAACACTCAAGAGGCTAAGGAAACAGAACCTCAATTCAAGGCCAACCTGGGCTACACTGGAAGATTCTATTTCCAAAAATATAGGTTGAGGTAGTGGCTCAAGTGTTAAGTGCTTTCCCAGCATGCTTGAGGCCCCAAGTTCTATTTCTGATACCATAAATCAAGCCAGCAAACAAACAAAACAAAACAACAACCAAACAACCCCTCAACATCTTTTCCCAATCAGAAACAAAGCTAGCCCCAGCTTGGTATACGTCTGTAATCCCAGCCACAGGATGTACTAGCAGAGACAGGATGATCCCAGCCAGCCCAGGAAAATTTAGCACCAGATTTCATCTCAAAATTACAACCAAACACAAAGAGCTGGGTATTGCTCAAGTAGAAGAGTTTGCTTAGCCTTCTCTAGGCCCTGGCTGGGTTCAGCCTTCTACACTAGGGGCAAAGAAAAACTTGTCAGCAAACTACAAATAGATGAGAATTTCCTCAGTCTGATACACAGTATTTATGGAGAACTTTCCACTATTACCACACTTAATCATGGTCAGGCTTTTCCTCCTAAGGTCAAGCACAAGACAAGGATTTCTCTCTCCCTATTTTTATTCAACAACACACCGGCCTTAGTCGACGTGATAAGGCAAGAAAAAGAAATAGAAGGCATCTGCCTTGAAAAGGAAAACAAAGCTTGGGCAGGTGGCTCATGCCTGTAATCCTAGCTGCATGGAAGGCTGAGATTTGAGGATCATGGTTCAAAGCCAGGCAGAAAAGTCCATGAGACTCTTACCTCCAATAAACTACTAAGAAAAAGCCAGAAGTGGTGCTATGGCTTGAATGGTAGAGCATTAGTCTTGAGCACCAAGAGGCTCAGGGACAGCACCCAGGCCTTCAGTTCAAGCCCCAGAACCAGCAAAAAAAGAAAGGAAGGAAGAAAGAAGGGAGGAAGGAAGAAGGAAGGAAGGAAGGAAAAAGAAAAAAAGAAAGAAAGGAGGAAGAAAGAAAGGAAAAGGAAAACATAAAACACTTCACAGATCACCTGATTGTTTATGCAGAAAATCAGATTGTCCATTAAGATGTTATTAGAACTGAGTATAGCAAGATTATTGAATGCAAGATCAATACACAAAATCTACATATTAGCAATACACAAGTGTAAGTTGAAATCAATAAAATGATACAATATCAGAACATGAAATACTTCAGGATAAATCTGTAAAAACAATGTGAAAGATCAATAAACTGAAAACTCTTGAACACTGTTTATAAAGACCACAATAAATTGAGACATATACCTTACTCACAGGGCAGAAGATTCATTATTGTTTTGATGACAATTTCGCCCAAATTTGTGAATAGAGGCAAAACAATTGCAATCAAAATTCAAGCCAATTAAAAATTCATGCTGAAATACAAAGACTTAAAAAAGCACAAAACATCTTTGAGAAAGAACAGCATTATATAGCTGGTCGCAGTCCAGTGACAATGCTGTAGTAGTATTAATGTAAAATAGACAAATTGAGTAACAAGCAGAACAGGAAGTCCAGAAACATCTTCCCACATTGATACAAATTTGATTTTTGTTTTTGTTTTTCAATGCTGGTTTGAACCCAGAACCTTGCCCTTGTGTGGCAAGCATCTACCACTGAGCTATATTGCTAGCCAAAATCTAATTTTTGACAAAGATTTAAGAAGAGTTGGGTGGAAAAAAGTGATTTTTATAACATATGGTCTGAACAGTTCGATGTTATATATTGTTATTTATATATTATAAATATGTATATATTATGATGTTATATATACATATTTATATAGCATATTATAATACAATATCTTATACTAACGTTATGTTTTTTCTTATGTTCTTTGTTAAAAAATAAAAGTATTAACTAAAAGTGGGTGGTAGGCCTGAATGTATACATGAAACTATAAAAAGTATAAAACTGTAAAACCTTCAGAATAAGACTCAGAAAAGCTCTGTGATCTTGTGATCTTGGATTAGGCAAAGAATTCTTAAATATGATACTACAAAAGCTCCATCCTTAAAAATGATCAATTGGACTTCATGCTAATTAAAAACTCCTGCTTTTCCTAAGACCATGTTAGGAGATAAAAAACACAAGCAGCTGGCTGGGGGGAACATTTAAATATTTGTAAAGCAAATCTTTAAAAAAGATTTGTCCTCAGAATATATAAGAACATCCAAAAACTCGATAATAAATCACTTAATGATAAATGGATAAAAAAATTTCACACATATCCTCTGAATATAAGCACATGAAAAAATTCTCGATACCACTAGCCGTACAGACTGCAAAACTAAAGCAGAGAGACACCACTAAGTACTGAGAATTAAAATGTCTGGACCTTTGGATGGGCAGCATTTACCGTCTCACCCAGACACCCCATTCCCAGGTACTTAACCAAGCAAAAAGAGCACCCACATCTACAGAGATTTGCGCAGCCATGTTCCTGGGAGCTCTAACTTTAATATGGAAATATTTGAAACAGCCTAACGTCCAGAGTGGCTGTGAATAAATACAGCTTGGTATATCCATACATGGAATACTACTCAACACGAAGGAGGAATGAACCATTGCTTCGTGCAAAACCTCTCAGGGTTGTCAAAATAACCAGGCTGGGTGAAAGAAGCCAGACCGAGCCAAGGACACATTGCACGATTCCAACTATAAACACCCTGCAAAATGCAAACAAACCAACGCAGCTCCAGGTTGGCGCGGGGCAGGAGTCACGTGGGGATGGGTGGAGCCAGGAATTGAGAGGGGCTTGGAGAATTAGGGGGAGGAGTTGGCCTGGAGGAACCCGGAAAAGCTCCGCGAAGGTCAAGGTCTAGCAGGCTGGGGTGGGGCGAGACAAGTGCAGAGTCTTGCAAGTCTGAGATGGAGGGGATGAGAAGTAAGAGGAAGGGAGGGGAAGGGGGCGGGGCCTAGATGGGCAGGGAGAGGGAGGAAAAGCCGGGAGTGGTGGAGTTCCAGGCCAGGGCGGGGCAGGACGAGTGAAGGGCGGGGCAAGGAACGTGAGAGGGCGTGGCTTTGAGGAGGCGTGGTGATATGTTATGGGGCGGGGCAAAGACAGGGAATGGGGGAATCAGCGGGGCTACAGGCATGACGACACGAAGGGGGCGGAGCAACGAAATGGGCGGGGCTAGGCGTGAGGGCTGTACCGGGGGCGGAGCTAGAGAAGAGAGGCGGGGCGCGGGCCTAGGATCGGCATGGAGGTCCTCCTCCGAGCTCTCCGCGTCCTTCCTTTCCGAGAGGTCCCTGGGCGCAGGGTTCGGGGCCTGTCAGGGACGCGCCGCGGGGACGCAGGTAGGACAGGGCCTCTCCCGTCCCTCCTCGCGGTTTCTGGTTTCACTGCCCTGATTGGGGGGTGTCCTGACCGCCGCGATCCTGGCCTGGCCTTCAAGGTGATGGGGTCCCCCCCGCCCCAGCGCAGCGAGAAAGGCCGGAGAGGCGCAGCGTCTGTCCAGGACGGGCTCGCGATTCTGTAAAGCTGTTGTGTGACTTATTTATTGTAAAAAATGTGAGGCTCCGAAGGCGCCACGTTGGCCCGCGGGCTTCGGGGGTGGAGGACCCCGAGATCCCGCCGGGCCGCTCGTCGCCCCCAGCTTTCCGGCCGCCAGGGGGAGCGGCCCGCGCCCCCGGAGCCCGGCGGGGTTTCCCGACTGGGCCCGGGAGACCTATTGGTTAGACAGCTCCCTCACGAAACTGGCCTTTCGTTCTTCATGGCCAAAGGGACCAGGTGTGTGTTTGTGTGTTTCCTGAGAAGCACTTTTGGCCCCCATTTTTTTGGGGGGGGGCAACTGGGGCATATCTGCCGTCCTCTGTTAGGAAGGGGTGTAGTAGAGACCTCAACTGACCCAGTTCCTGATCCAGTTTTCTGTGTGTCCATTGAAGACACAGGGATACCTGAGAATGTGCCATCTGAAAGTGTACTACCTCATGTGTGACTCTTTTGTGTTTTAATCTCAGGAGGGTTTTGTGGTGGTGGTGGTGGTGGTGGTGATGGTGGTGTTTTTTTTTTACTGCGTGTTTGATTTTTGTCTTGTGTTTGTCAAACTGGGTTTTGAACTCAGGGACTGGTGGAAAAGCGCGCCACCACTTGAGCCCTTTTTTGCTTTTTTGTGTGTCAGTTAATTTTCGGGTAGACTCACCATCGTTTTGCCTTGTGGCAGGCCCCAGGCAGCTCCAAGCTTCACCTCTGTGGGATTACCAGCCTGGCCTTCTGTTGAAGGTTACAAAATGTAATGGTAAATAAATAAAAGCCTTGGCAATGTGGAGCTGCGGCTGATGCAACATGACCCCAAGTGATGACTTTCCCAGTCCCTCAGTGTCTCAGCAGCCTGTCTGCTATCTGTCCCAAGCCCTCAGGTATGCCAGGAAGGGTTTGCTGAGAGCCACAAGTAATGGAAATATCACAGTTGTGAGCTGGGTTTCTCCTCATCACCCTTCATAGGGTTTTACCAGAAACTGCTTCATGCATGTGCTTGGTGCTGTCATAAGCAGCCTGATAAATGGGCCTGACATCTGAAGTTCTTCAGCCATATTAAAATCTGGCCAGACACCAGTACATACCAGGAGCTGTGTAACTCATCAGACACCCCCTTTCTGGAATGTATTCTAAGGAAATAATTCAAAAGAACAAAGCTCTATATGCAAAGACATTTTTAGTAGTATTACCTTTAGGAACCAGAAACTGGCTTCCCTCCAAATCAGTGAAGGAATGCATAAGTAAATCATGCAAGTTCAATTCAACCAAGAAGTAGGCCTCCACCAAAAATGACAAGCAAGTAGTGGTTCTGTGGTCAAAGGCTTGGTTCTGCCGTTAAAGGCTTGGTGGTCAATAGTTTGAGCCTTGGCTTGCTGTCCCTTCCTGAGTTTGTGTCTGACCTTGAGCTTCCATATGAGAATACTATGGAATGGGAGGCTTAAACAACACATACTCATTTTTCATAGTTCTGGAGGCTGAAAAGTCCAAAACCAAGATGGTGACATATTTGGTTGCCTGACAAGGACCCACTTTCTGGCTTGGAGATGGCCATGTTTTTGCTGAGTGTTGAATTAGCTTTCTGGCTGGGGGAGGGGGGCAGAGGGGTAGGACAGGCTTTTAAGTCTCTCTTCTCCCCTCATGCCTTTTTTTCTCTCTCTCTCCTGCTTTCTCTTTGTGATGGGCTCAAATTCAAGGCCTTCCCTTGCCCGTACTAGGCAAGGACTCTGCCATTAAGCTACATTCCCAGTCTATCAGATCTTTTCTTTATAAGGACACTAGTAGCCCCATAAGAATCCCACTTGTGCTGTGGCCCATGGCTCACACCTATAATCTGAGCTACTGAGGAGGCTGAGATTCCGAAGGCCAAAGAGTTACAGGCATGAATCAAGAGGCAGAGGTGTTAACTAAGCAAGCAAGCCGAATGAGCCTGAGACCTGGAGTTCAAACCCCAGTACTACAAAAATAAATAAATAAATAATAAAATAAACACACCTTTAATTAGTTTACTATAAACAGATAGACTAAAAGTAAAGGAATATACCACCTAATGCTTAAAAAACGTAGCTATACATAGAACTCATAAATGTTATAGACCGTGATAGACAGTTTGCTCCAGGAAAGTTAGAATGTGTTTGTGACTTTAACTGAGCATCACTATCCCACAATACTATGAAATTTGGGAAATTATATAACCACTTAATCACAATAAAAAATTTGAAAAAAAACCCGTAGCTATATTAATTTGAGAAGACTTTAGAGAAAGGAAAGTTATCAGTGATTAAAGGTAGATATTACATAATACATGAGGCCAGTACTCCAAGACAAAGCAATCCTTCATGTATATGCACTTAACAACAGAGCACCAAACCATGTTAAGTGAAAATAACTCCAAGAAGAGAAAAAATTACTATCATAGTTGGAGACTTCAATAGCCTCTCTCAGAAATGGACAGACAGCAGGCAGAAATTAGTATAGGTGTCATTGAACTCAAAAGTTACATCAATCCACAGGCTCTAATTGACATTTATAGACTACTTCATCCAGAAGGTCCAGTAGTAGTTAGCCAGGAAACCTAAAAGGAAAGAGGTATGATGGCAGAGGGTGCTAGCAGAACATGGAAATTTTAAGCAAGAGTAATGATGTGTTTTGGCCTAGACTTTTGAGATCCTCCTCTTTGCCTCCTGAGTAGCTGGGATTGCAGACATGAGCTGCCATGCCTAACTTCAAGTTTTAAGCATTGCTCATTACAGCATGTGAAGGGAGGATCTAATTCCACACAAAATGGTAGGCTGGAAAGTATGCTTGTTAAACTACTACAAATAACTTGAGGGGCTAGCATACAACTGAAATCTAATTCCTAGTGAAATCGATGCCTAGTGTTTACAATTACAATGACTCTTCCTAGCTTGTAGCTGTTGCTCCTGAATTTATTTCATACTCCCTAGCAAGGACAGAAACCCCACAGTGTGAAAAGGAATTAAGTCCTGAATCAGTAGCTTCACCCCACCCATCCCCATTCCCGAAAATGGCTCAGAAGACTCAGCTACCACACTGGGCAGGCTACTTTTGATGTAAAAGAGGTGATGATGAGCTAGGGTGAAAACAGGTCTTGGAGATCTTAAGATTGTCCTTTGTGCAACATTGAGTGAGTTTTCATCCATTAGGCTTAGGAAACCAAAGTTCAGTGTTCAGGAAGTCAGGGTGACATTCATTTATCACTGTTAGGGCTATGACAACAGTTTGTCTTTCCTTGTTTTTCAGGATCTTGACAATTTTGAGTACTGGTCACATACCATATAGAGTGCTTCTCTCAGTCTGTCATCATTTGATGTTTGCCTTCAGACTAAACTGAGATTATAGGTTACTGGGGAAAATTCTACAGAAATTAAGTTCCCTCCTAATTCTGTGACCTCTTCCCCATGCTTTGCCACCATGGACACACATACCATTGAGACACACATATGTATGTGCACACACACTTGTGTTACTTGCTAAACCATTTTAGAGATAGTTGTAGGTGTTAACAATACTTTATCCCTAAATATTTCTGCATTTGTCTCCTATGACCAAAGATTTTTTTCCTGTGAACTAAGAGGACAATTATCTTACTCTTGAGATTGAACTTCATTATAACACTGTTGTCTAATGTATCTGTCATACTGACATTTCTATGTTCCATTTAGTGTCTCTATTGCTTAATTTTCCTTGGATCTAGAAATCAGTGAAAGGAAACTCATTGCACTTCATTGTTTTCCAGGATTTCCTTTCCTTTATATTTGTGTATTTCTTCATGATCAGATTAAACATTTTTGTGGAGCAGGTCCTGGTGGCTCACACCTATAATCCTAGCTATTCAGAAGGCTGAGATCTGAGGGTTTCAATTTGAAGCCAGCCTGTACAGAAAAGTCTTATCTCCTATAAGACAGCAAAAGAGACAGGGAGTGGAGGTTTGACTCAAATGGTAGAGCACCAGCCTAATAAATAAACCTAAATAAAAAGAATTGAAAGATAATAGTACTAGGTACACTATTCTTCCCAGTACAGTAACTATGAGTCTCCTATGCCACAGATCCACTTTAATGATACTAACTTTGCTCACTTAGTTAAGGTGGCTTCCAGATTCCTCCATTTTAAAGGTTGTCTTTTCTTCTTTGTAATTGGTCTCTCAGGGCCATATTTGGGGCTTTTTCCCAAAAGTCTTTCACCCAAGAGATTGAGAATTTTCTGATGGTTCTTGCTTGACTCCCTGGCATGTTGCTGCCTAACTGTAATCCCAGCACTGGTGGAGCTGAGAGAGGTCAGTTACAAGTCAGAGGCCACAATGATCTACGTACCAAAACCTTTGCACAAACAAAGAAACAAAAAGCTTTCTCAGAGTAGGGCATCAGTGGCTTGTGCTTACATTCTAGCTCTTTAGGATCCTGAGAATGGGACCTCTTTGCTCAAGGCCAGCCAGGACAGAAAGACATTAGAGATTCCTTGTCTGTGGAAAGAGAAGCTAGTCATGGGGGAAGCCTAAAAATAGAAGTCTGGGAAGCAAGACCTTATCTGAAAAGTAACCACCAAAAAGCAAGCCTGGAGGCATAGTGCAAATGGTGGAGGGCCTTGCTTGCTTGAGGTCCTTAGTTTAAACCCAGCACTGCTATTTTTTTAAAAAGCCTTTAAATAAAACATACTCATAAGCAGTCAGCAATATACAATACTAAAAGTATATTATCATGCAATTTCATAAACTGGTGATAAAGGTGTCTTTCTTGCTAAAAAATTATTTAGGACTTTGTGTGTGTGTATCCAAAAATTAACTTTAAACACAGTTTCACTGCATGTTTGATATTTGCGTGCACACATCACAGACATTTAGTATTTCATCTTCAGTGCAAGAATGGCTTGCTAACCTCTTCTGGGCCTCTTCTCATTGAAAATTGAAATGTTGTAGAGATTATAAAATACTTTCAAATTCTTAATATTAGATAGGAAATTTAATGGGAGACTGACAATTGAGTTTTCTTTTGGCTTTGTCCACAGAGTGGCTTGTTCTAATTATTTGTTTATAGTCAACCATATAAAAGTAATACAGGCTGAGCATGGTGGTCCACACTGGTAATCCCAGCTACTCCAGAGGTCAATAGAGGTCAGGAAACTGTTCATTTGAAGTCAGCTTGTGCAAAAAAATGATTGAGACTGTATCTCAAAAACAAACCAAGTGTGTGGTAATGCCTTTACCAGCTACTTGGAGGAGGAGGTAGGAGGACACCTCTGTTGGTCTTAGGGGAACGTATGAGACCCTATCTAAAATACCAAACTAAAAAAAAAATGGGCTGGAGGTGTGGCTCAATGCAGAGTACTTGTGCTGTACTTGAGTTCAAAAGCCAAGTACCAACACCACACACAGAGTCCAAAAGTAATTGAGAAGTGGACAGACCAGGAAGCATAGGAGTGTGGTAGTTCTGGTGCTTCCAGCTGTGCTGACAGGAAATGCTGATCTGAAAGCAGTATAGAAGGGCCAATCAGTTTCCACTTTGAAGAGAACCTACTCTGCATGAACTTACTCCTAGTTCAACTACTTCAGCTTCTGTGTTCCCAGGAAGACTAGAAAACCAACTGTTCTGGTTATTCAAAGCATTTTGTAATCCATCCTTCCTGTCCCTGTGAGCTTGGAGAAATGGAGAGAGAGGAAGGGGCGGGGCTATCACCGGGTGACAGGATACTCTGGTTGAAAGGGAAGTTCGTTGGGCATTTCAATTTTAATAAACAAATTCCTTATATAACACTGCAGGGTCTCTTACGAAGTGTGAGTCCCCGTCTCTCACCAAGGCTGAGTGGCAGAAGAAACTGACCCCTGAGCAGTTCTACGTCACCAGAGAAAAAGGAACTGAGCCTGTGAGTGGCCTGATGTACAGTGTCTGGTTAAGGGTTTGGAGAGGGGCCAGCAGACCATCTACAAACTCCAAGTAGGCCTTGTCCACTGTGCAAGTCTGCTCTTCTTCCATTGGCCCCTTCTCTGGGCATTGGAATCTGTCCCGTTGTAGAATCCTGAATCCAGCCCTGGACACATCCACCACCAGCACCCCCACTGCCGTGCTGCACATCTCTCACCCTATGTGGCTACCAAAACCAAAGAAGGATCTCTGTCCCCACACCTTGGTCAGTACTGAGTTTTGAACACAGGCCTTTATGATTGCTTATGCTGGTACTCTACCACTTGAGCCATACCTCCAGTCCAGCTTTTTGCTGCTTATTTTCTAAACTGAAGGCTCATAGTCTTTTCTGCTCAGGCTGACCTCAAACTATACTCCTTTGGATCTTAGTCTTTAGAGTAACTAGGATTATAGGAATGAGCCCCCAGGTATTAGCTTAAAGACACCTTTTGAAAACACTACCCAACTTTGATCCCTCAGTGGCTTCTACCACTTTCAAGGAAAGAGAAAAGTAGTGAAGAGTTACTTAGTTCCTAAAGGCAGTGGTTCATGTATCCTACCCAACCCCAAGTCTCCGAGCTGTACCTGGAGAGCTGGGAGCTCACAAGTACTCTGGGTTCCCATTCCTTGAAGGCCCTTGTGTTCCATGTTCCTTTTCCTAGCTCCTCCTGATTAATTCATACCCACCAATTAATTCTGAGCCCAAAGTTCACCTCAGGGAGCCCTCCTCTCAGTCCCAAGTCAGGTTTAATTCTACAGTACTTGCCCTTCATAACATTTTCTGCTGTGTTTTGTCCCCTTGTGTCTACCGTAATGTCTGGCTGTGATACTGGATAACCGTTTATGGATACAGAATGACTGAGGGCATAGAGGAGAAAACGTTATTTAAACTGAAGTCAGCAATCTCAGCTTTCATTCAGCCTTCACTGGTTTCTCTTTGTAAAGCTATTCTTTTCAGCACTGTGATTCTTAACAAGTGGTCCAACTAGAGGCACTGCAATTGAGCTATTGAACTTCCACTCCATATTTTCATTTGTGAAGCAGGTCCCACAGATAGACCACAGTACAGTAACATTGTGAAAATATTTACATTTTTCCTTTTTCAGTACCTGGAAAACTCTACAGCTGGTGGCTCACATTTGGCCTTGTCGTCATGATCAAACCCTCCAGTTCCCTGATGCTAAAGCATTCAGACTTTTTGCTAGTATTTTTCACAGCTTTCTGCAGGTGGGATTTTAATAAAGTCTTCACTGGGAAAGAGACTTCATTTGAATTATTGTTGATAGCATAGGAGAGCTATATGTGATGATCTGACCTGTGTGTGTGTGTGTGTGTGTGTGTGTGTGTCTACACAGGCACACACACACAAGAATATTCTAAGCCTGCTCTTATGCTCAGGTGAAGAGCCAGACAAGGCTTGGTGCCTGGAGATTCTCTGCCAGATGTTTCAGAGAATAAATCTGTAGGCTTCTGAAACAGATGGTACATTCTATTTTGCATTTGGCCCTTGTACAAAATGAGCAGCATCCCTTATAACTAATGTTATAAATCCCTTTCAGTGGCTCCATTTCCACATTTTACATTTCAGAACTCAGCAGAACTGTAAGCCTCTGTCAGCTTCGTTAGGCCAAGGGATTCAGATTGAATTCAGTTACACATGGTTTTTTACTGGGCAACAGAACTAAGTTGGGTCTCTGCTGTCATCCAGCCAAAGAAAGCTGCAGCCCAACTAGAGTAGTACTAAAGCCAGTGTTCAGAAGAGAAGGTGCAGGTCCTTTTGTGGGGGCCCTTCTCTGGGTGCCTTCCTCATCCACTCTCCACAGGCTTCTCCCTGCCCTGGCTTTCTTGTCTCCTGGCCATTGACTCAATTCAGGCAGAAAGAGATGTCAGAGCTTAGTGGGCAGGATAGAGAAATTAGCAGGGATCTGAGGTTCCCTTAGCCCTGGAAGTGTGGCTGTAGCTGTGTTCCTGTTCTGCAGGTGGCAGCTCCTACACCATACCATACCATGGGATCTGGTGACTGCTTCTTCCCTTACCCCATAGGCCCATAGGGAGTGGTAACTTCTCTCAGATACTAAGCCCTTCATTGGTGTCTGCTGACCCTGTCCCCCAACCTTTGAGAATAGTCCCATATGACTTGTCTGAAGTTATCGCTTTTGATGGGGTCCGCTGTTTTCAGCAAGTGTTGCTTTTTACTACTGGTTGTTGGTGTGTGTGTGGTGTCTGTGTGTGAATGTGTGTGTATGTGTATGTGTGTGCGTAGGCTGATACTGGGGCTTGAACTCAGGGTCTGGAGCTCTTGCTTAGCTTTTTTGCTCAAGGTTGGGGCTCTGCTACTTGAACCACACCTCCACTTCCATCTTTTTGCTGGTTAATTAGAAATGAGAGTCAACAGCTTTGATCCTTTCTTTCTTCTTTTTTTTTCTTTTTTTGGTCGGTCGGCCGTGGGCTTGGGCACTGTCCCTGCTCTACCGCTTGAGCCACAGCGCCACTTCCAGTTTTCTAGTGGTTTATTGGAGATAAGAGTCTCACAGATATTTCTGCCCGAGCTGGCTTTGAACCATGATCCTCAGATCTCAGCCTCCTGAGTAGCTAGGATTATAGGTGTGAGCCACCAATGTCTGGTCCAAAGTGTACTGTTTTGACAGCATCTAAGAGAGCTCTGCCTGGGTCCAGGCAGACTGAATTCCAGGGGGTGCCTTGAGCTTTATTTTCTCTCTGACCCTGGCCCCTAGCCCTGACAGCTAGCCAGCCATTTCATTCTCTCCTCTGGTTTTCAGTTTCCAGCCAGAGCAGGAGCACAGCAAGCCTGTATTAGTGACTCGCTTAGCTGCTTGTTCTTTGCTTCTAGTGTATTTTTCCCTCTAGTCCAATCTGTTTGGTTGTTGTTCTTTTTGTTTGTTAATTGCAGCGTCCAGGGTGGATCCAGATCCCCGTGCATGCCCAGTGCTGTACCACGTGGCTACATTCCCTCCCCCGCCCCTCCAGTCCATTCTTGACTTGGATATCAAGGGATCATTTCTGAAAGCCAGTTCTGGTCATGTTCTTGGCCATTGCACAGTTAGTTCCCAGTGGCTCCCCTCGCTCAGCAGGACAGGGTGTCCATTTCTTAGCCTGCTCTACAGCTCTATGGTGGCCAGGCCTTGCCTGTCCTCCCTCTCCACCTCACCTTATCTGGACTGTTCTACTTGTCTGAAGTCCTTCTGCCGTCTCATCCTTCAAAGCTTGCCCTAATGTCTTAGAATTTTTAGATAATAAATGCCAATCAGCTGTGCAGGGTAAAAATATACAAACAAAAACAGACTCTACACAATGACAGACAATATTTGGTGAGAACACCTTCTTGGCAGTGGTCGGGCAGTACCCAGCTCCATACACTCCTCTGTCCTGGCTGTCATGGTCTGGTATAACTTCCCACCCAAGCCACCAGCACATTCTTTGGGAACAAGGAATGTGCCATGTCATCCTAGCCACTCAGGAGGCTGAGATCAGTTGGATCAATGGTTTGAAGCTAATCTGGGCAGAAGTCTGTGAGACTTCATGTCTGAATTGAACAGCAAAAAGCCAGGCTAGAGGAGTGGCTCAAGTGGTAGAATGCCAGCCATGAGTAATCATGCAGAGCAAGTACCAGGCCCTGAGTTCAAACCTCTTTACCACCCCAGAGAGAGAGGGAGAGAGAATACCATGGATTTTAATCCCAGTGTGTACTCATACTTTAGTGTATACTCAGCCCTGCACCAAGTAGACACATTTTCCATGGATACTAAAATGGACAGATGAATGAGAAGCAGAATTTTGGTCCTAAGTACATCATAGGATCTGTCAAGTGAAGGAGTGGGGAGGTAGTGAGTAGCTGTCAGCCCCTAAAATACATTGGCTGAACAATTCCTCTTTATATGAATTATTTGCACTTATTTTACTTAACTGTGATAGCAATGCTCTGTCACTTCTCCACCCATCTGTCCCCTGCCATGCTGAAATTGCATTTCTGACCCTTACCAGGTATCTTGTTCGTATGAACAGAGTTCTGTAGCTCAGCCTTGAGGCTGGCAGCCCTCGGGCACATATGTACCATAGGCGGGGGGGAGACTATGAAGCCTCATCCACAGATGCCATGCTGCCAGAGCTGGCCGCCTGGCTCTGGAGGACTAGCTCACAGCATTCACAATTCTGCATCTAATATAGAGGTTTTAAAGAGGGAAAATGTCCAAGGGCTCCCATCTGGTTGGCTCAGAAGTTTGATCTGAAATGGCCCATCACGCTGCTCTTTGAAAATATGTGCCTAATACAACAGGGAACTGGAGGTTTCACTTGCAAGTTCTTTTGTTTTTGTTTTTGTCAGTCCTGGGACTTGAACTCTGGGCCTGGGCACTGTCCCTCAGCTCTTCAGCTCAAGCTGAGTGTTCTACCAGTTAAGCTACAGCGCCACTTCCGGTTTTCTAAGTGGCTTATTGGAGATAAGAGTCTCATGGAATTTCCTGCCTGGGCTGGCTTTGCATTGCAAGCAATCCTCAGATCTCAGCCTCCTGAGTAGGTAGGATTACAGGCGTGAGCCACCGGCACCCAGCTTGTTTTTGTTTTTATAATACTAGAGATTGAACTCAGGATTTCACACCTGCTAGGCAGGCACCCTACTTCCGAATCATGCTTCCAACCCCCTCCACTCCCCCAAAGGTTATTTTCAGATGGAATTTCATTTTTATCCTATTATTTTATGACTGGTATTCCCCACCACACCCACCTTCTCTCATTGACGTGGTAACTTCAGTTTTATTTTGTGGGGGTGCAAAGGTGTCTGGGCTGGCCTAAGACTGCAGTCCTCCCAACCTAACCTCCCATGCATTTGGGATGCTACAATGCGTTCAGTGCTCAGTAGGCATTTGAATTCTTCCTCCCTCTTCTTCCCTCCTCCCTGTCTTAAGGATCAAACTCTGGGCCTTGTGCATGCTGGGAAAATACTGTACTACTGACCACACCCTCAGTGTCTTTATTATCTGCTTTAATTGGGGATTTCAACATATTTGAGACAAGGATTCCAGTTCCTCATTTAGCTCTTTTGAAAAGAGACTGAAAACGTCCACAAATTACAGAAGGTCAGATTCATTTCTCATCTTTCTTCATGGAAATTGATGAAAACTTCTGTGTAAATACAGAGCATTATTTATGTCCTAACTTAAATATTGGGTACAATCAAGACCAGGCTGTAAATAAGCCTGCAGGTTACTTCTTTGGGTGGTTGTAATTTCCTCTCTGGTGGTATTTGTGTTTTGTCAAATTCATACAAATTCATTGATTTGGAAACATCACGGTGGTGGTGTTTACTTTTGTTTTCGTTTTCTAGTGGTACTAAGGATGGAACCCAGGGTTTCACATGTGCTAGACAAGTGCTTTACCTCTGAGCTACACCTTCATCCTCTCTGTCTTTGGGCTTAAATCTGCTACATTGCCTCCTTCTGGTGATGTGGGAAACATGCACCCATGTGTCATTTACTTTCAGCCTTTCAGTGGGACCTACCTGAACAACAAGGACCCGGGAATGTACCATTGTGTGTGCTGCGATGCTCCACTCTTCAGGTGAGATGAGGAAGCCAGAGCTAACGAAGAGCAATTCCCCCTCTGTTGAAACAGCTCGGTCTCATTTGAGGTTTTGGATAAATACCGTTTCTTGTTTACGTTTTGGTGCTGAGGCTTCATGCATGGTGAGCACTTTCTTTGCCATTGAGGGACTCCCCTAACTCCCAGATAGCCTTTAGTTTCCTCCTTAATTTGTTTAAGAGGAACTATTCTTAGAAGCTATCAGTCTTAATTTTTCCCGGTAGCTTTTGAGCAATTAACAAGACTTAGCTTATATTCTTAGCTTATATTTTTCTTTATATAAACATAGGAAATAGCAAACAAAAACATGGCAGATTCTTTACCATAATGCTATTAGAATGTTTTAAAGGGAAGCATGTAAAGACAGTTAAACCCTAATAGTATTTGCTTGGTCATGTGATTTTAAAAAAATAACTATACCTCTCTCAGGGAAAATAGGTTTATAATTTAATTTAGGGTTTTATGAGGGTAGATTCCCCACTGTGCTTGATGGTGAATACCAGACCCTCATTCACTAACTGGAAGTAAATTTAATTGTCCCCTGATTTCAAAGCCTTCTCTTAAGTCAATCTGGATCTAAAATCTTTCAACAAAAGCTTTTTGTTTAGATACACAGGAAGCAGTCTTTAAAAAAAATAGATTCGATGAAGAAGAAAGGAAATATCTTTGAAGTCTTGTTTTTTAGAACTTCAAAGATGTTTTCCTTTCTTTGGCATCATCCCTAAATTGGTTTAGAATAAAATATAAATCAAGCCAGCCTTGCGAATCTTCCATTAGGCAGAATTTCCTTCTGTCCTTTGGGCTTTGAGCAGACAGACTTTTCCTGGCGAGCCAGCTGCATTAGGGAAGCCAGACCCCACCTGTAAGGACGAGAAACAAGTAGAATCCATTTTCTCTAGTGCCCACACGGGACCAGACTGGCCCACATTCATGCACAATTGTCTGCCAGCCAGTGGGGAGATAGCTGCGGGGGAAGGGGTGGGAGAGGCAACTCAGGAGGCTCTGGGGAAACAAGGAGAAAGTTAGTGTTTGCACCCTGGAGTGGCTAGAAAAACAAACCATTTTCTCCCAACTATCATAGCACAACAGAGACTTTTGTGACCTAGGTGGAGTGAGATCACATGACCAGACACCAGCAGGGGCATCAGATGCCAGGGGTGCCCCCTGACTCAGATGCTGATCATGAGCCCAGGGCTGTGGCCAGTGCTTCTGATCAATGGCTACAGATTAAGTTTCCCACACCCCCTCTTTGGGTTCAGTTACTTTACCTGAGGAGCTCACAGAACTCTGGAAACACATAGGTTTACTGGGTTATGATAGAGGATAGTATAATGCAGAGGTGAATAGAATGACACAGGAGAGGGGTGCCACACTTCCTGTGCCCTCTCAGGGATCATTCTCTAGACATCTCCATGTGTTCAGCTATCTGGACCCTGATGTTTAGGCTTATGGCAGCTCCATGGCCATGGCCATTGGTGATCAACTTAACCTTCAGCCTGTCTTCCTTCCTTAAAAAAAAAAAAATCAACTATCTGGTCATGCTTTGGTGACCAGTGCCCATCCAGTAGCTACCACGGGACTGCTAGCTATCAGCCAGCTCATTGGCACATACAAAGACATGATCACTGGGCAGATTCCAATTGTGATTTGCCAGGAAATAGGAAGAAGAGCAAATCGATATTTCACAATATCACAGCAGTAAAATGGAGATGCAGGCCAGGGACTGGTGGCTCATGCCCACAATCCTAACTACTGAGGAGGCTGAGTTCTGAAGATCATAGTTAGAAGCCAGCCTGAGCAGGAAAGTCCTTAAACCTCTTCTCTCCAGTGAACTACTTAGAAAAAGCTGAACGTGGTGCTGTGGCTTAAGTGGTAGCATGTTAACCTTGAGCCCAAAGTGGCTTAGGGACAGTACCTAGGCCCTGAGTTCAAGCTCCAGGACCAGCACACACACAAAAATGGAGACACAGGTTCAGAAATCTTAGTTACCCCTTGATCATTGGTTCTGTGAAAGAGAAGTGGACCTTCAGTGGAGAGCTTTCCAAGGAAGAGCGATGTGGCCAGAGTTCAGAGGGCTGCCTTGTTGCTGGCGGGTCAGTAGGTATGCACTCTCTTTCTACATTTGGATTATAATGACAGAGACAAGATGTCATCCAGTGGGAGCATTGATTTGTTAGTATCTTCTCACTATTCAGCATCTGATGTCCCCTTCCCACACAGGCCAGGCCTGTGGGCACGGAACAACCTGAGAGCTAGGGCAGACAGCTGTGGCCAACAAGAACCCGCTCCCGCCATGGAAATGCCCTTCCTCTGCACTGGGTGCAGCCGAGCATTCAACTGAGGCTGGCGTGGCTGGGAAGTTGACATTTTCATTTCATGTTATTTTATTTAAGGAACATTGCACGGGACTAGGGGCTGCTCGTATGTTAGCACAGTGTTAGTTCAAACAGCTCTGGATCTGCAAGGTCACAAAGTAGCTCAAAGTGACAGGATTACCAGCCAATTCTCCAAAAGCCTGTGCGTGTGGAGCTGTTCACCACACTAACAAGTCAGGATCCGTGGTTGTTTCTTGGATGCAAAGTTGATATTTCTTATTTAAAAAGAAAAATAAAAAACGTTTGAGTTTGTTTCAGTTCTCTTTTTCCTGCTGCTTTAGCTTAGAATGAGGGAAATGAGAGTAGTCTCTTCATCAGCTTTCTGCTACTATAAATAAATAAATAAAGCTCATATAGAGTTAAAGCAAAACAATGGCCAACCAAAACTAAACATTAAATTAAAAAAGCAAACACAGGAAGCATAACCTCCTGACTTCCTGCACCTGCAGCCTGCCCCTCACTCTGTGTGGCCTCTGGGGTTTCCTCACCCCTCCTGTCCACTCACTGAAGTTCTATGTGTTCTTGGGGCCAGCAGTTCATGAAGTTGCCTGCCTTGGAAAGCACATGTTGTTAGGTTTAGACTATTTTTTTCTCTCCAGATTCTTGTTACTCAGTAGCACACTGTTGAGGACTTACTTTTATAATGGCTTAACTCATTTGTTTAGTTAAGGAGATAAAACTGACAGGCTGCTGGAGTTCCTTGATCATTTGACGTCTTTTACAGACCTCATGGGTTGAACTGTGTTTCTCAGTCTTAATCCCTGGAACCAATGGTTGTGACTTCGGGTGGAAAAGGATTATTGGGGATATAATGGGTTAAGATCAGATGAGCAGAAAAAGGCAATCAGGGCGAAGGCCTCCTTCCACAGAGGGTCTGCAGCTTTCACCCCGGCCTTGAGCAGTCTGTATGAGGATCCCTAGGCATCACATCATGGCCCATTGCCCCTGGAAGCTTGCATGTGAGCAGTGCACTGACTGCACCCCAGAGTTGAGCACTGGAGTAGGCATCCAGTCAGAGGGCTCACTGACACACGGGAAAGCTTGTGCAGGCTGCAGGGAGCCTCTGATTGGCTCTGGGGACTAATATGGCCACAGGCTGTCCATTGCTTTTAAGAATTCTGTAGCTGTCTCCTAAAGACACCATATTACCTGACCTCTGCACAACAGACCCCAGGCATTGCTCTCCCTTGAGACCCCTCTTGTCAGCAGGAGCTCTGCTCATCTTGGGGCGGGGGGGGGGTCTTGAACTCAGGGCTGGATGCTGTCCTTGAGCTATTTTGTTCAAGGTTGGCACACTACCACTTGAGCCCACAGCACTACTTATGGCTTTTTTTTTCCTGGTAGTTAATTAGAGATGAAAGTCTCTTGGACTTTCCTGCCTGGGCTAGCTTTAAACTACGATCTTCATATCTCAGCCTCCTGAGTCACCAAAATTGCAGGTGTGAGCCATCAGCACCCTGCTCTTTGCTTATCTTTATCTTCAGTAACTCTTTGCCAGTTTTCTTCTCCCTCTGTGTCCATGGACTCAGTGTTGAAGTCATAGAGACAAAGGTGTGGCAGTGTTTCAGTGTCTTGGAAGAAGAGAAGAAACACAGTTACTAACAGTACCACAAGAAAATGGCGCAGCAACTGAGTCCAGGGACTGCTAGCTCTTTGCAGAAACCTGGGAGGGGCACAGAGGGGTTCCTGAAGTTTCCAGAAGAGTTTGGCCCTACCCACACCTCGATTTGGTACTTCTAACTTTACAACTGTGACATGTAATCTGTCGCCTCCACCCTAGGAAACTAAAATGGAGGTGCCCAGTAAGTGCTTCCTGACTGTAGATGAGTAGCGTCTCCCATTGTTTCGCAGCTGCAGCAATATGAAAACTTTACACGGGGCACTGGTGGCTCACTCCTGTCAACCTAGCTACTCAAGAGGTTGGGATCTGCGATTGTGGTTGAAAGCCAGCCCAGGCCTTAAGATCAGTGAGACTCTTATGTCCAATAAACTACAAGAAGACCAGAAGTGAAGTTGTGACTCAAGTGGCAGAAAGCTACCCTTAAGCACAAAAGCTCAGGGACAGCACCCAGGCCCAGAGTTCAAGCCCTAGGATAAGGAAGAAAGAAAGAAAGAAAGAAAGAGAGAGAGAAAGAAAGAAAGAAAGAGAAAGAAAGAAAGAGAGAGGGGGGAAAGGAAGGAAAGGAAGGAAGGAGAAAGAGAGAAAGAAAGAGAAAGAAGAGAGAAGAAAGAAAGAAAGAACAAAAGAAAGGAAAGAGACGGAAGGAAGGAAGGAAAGGAAGGAAGGGAGGGAGGGAGGGAGGGAGGGAGGGAGAGAAAGAAGACGAGGAAGAGAAGAAGAAAGGAAGGAAAGAAGGAAAGAAAGCAAGCTTTCTATGGACATTAGTTATGAAGGGAGTTACCATGGGAGGTGGGATGAGAAACACAACTTTTTTTTTTAATTTTTATTTTTATTTTTTGTGAACATACTGTACAGAGGGGTTACAATTACATGGGCAAGATAATGAGTACATTTCTTATCAAGCATTGCAGCCTCCTCCTTTGTTTACCCTTCGCATCCCTTCCCACCCTCCCCGAGAAACACAACTTCTTGAGCACTTAGCATGAGCACTGGGCTTGGTACTTTGCCAGCAGTGCTCCTGGGATGCCTACCCAACAGACATGAAAATGAATGTTCCAGATCCTTAAGGCCCTTACTCAAGGTCTTAGTCTGTTTTATGTTATAACAGAACACCAGACAGGGGGTGATTTATAAGGAAGTGAGGTTTGTTTTGGCTCACAGGTCCGAGGCTGGGAAGTTCCACTGCTTGGCGCCAGTGTCTGCTCCGGTTCTGGGCTGTGTCAACCCACGCTAGAAAAGCCACAGGCAACAGTTGCATCAGAAAGAAACTTCATGAGGGTAGCATTGTTTTCTGACAACCAGCTCTTTGCATAACTAAGCCAGTCCTGGGAGAACTGCAGTATTTCCCCCTTAAGTGTGGAATCACTTCCTAGAGACTTCACCTTCAAACCCCTCCACTGTGGGGACCAAATGCAATGTGAACGAAGCCATCTGCAAATCACAGCAGTGACCCAGAGTGAAGAATGACTCTGGCTTCTCCATCTACAGGAGCCCTGGGGTGTGTCCTGCGCCCCTTTCATCCCCAAAGCTCCTTTTCCAGACCCTGTCTCCAGCCACCGCTGCCACACCGCTGCCCTGTGGTGTCGGAATGAATGGTGTCCGTTTGTGAGGAGCTTCTGTCTAGTAATGTGTTATGAGATCACATATCATGGTCCTATCATCTTAAAATAGGAAGTCACTGGGCACCTCAGCGCACACCTGGAATTCTAGCTACTCGGAAGCTAAGAGCTGTGAATCACTGAAACTGATACAAGCAGACAAAAGTAAGCGACTTATCTCCAGTTAGCCAGGAAAAAGCCAGAAGTGGAGCTATGGCTCAAGTGGTATAGCATCAGCCTCGAGTCCCAAGTTCAAGCCCCAGTATTAACATATAAGTGCGTGCATACACATAGGCACACACACACAGAGGAATCTGAGAGAGCCTGGTACTAGTCCATTTTCTGCACAGCATATCCCATCTATCTGAATAATACTATTTATAAATCTCTTGTGTCCCCAAGTCCTTCAAATGAATGGGAATTCTACAAGCTAGGGTTAGGTTGTCATTGTCTCTAGATGCCTCTGTTCTTCCTGAGTAGCTATAGAATATCTAGAAATGGTGGGAAAGCAAATGAAACACAAGGAAAACCCTGGGATGTGTGAACCAGAATTGTGTGGGTTTTTTTTTTTCAAGTAATGAGTTAAACTCAGCCTCTTAAATATGTAGTTTGGAATGTCTTAGGTTTTCCATCATAAGTTGGTCCTTGTATTGCTTGGTAAAATCTCTAGATTCTGCTGAATTTGCTTCCAGTAAAGTGTTTCCGTGACTTTTTATTAGTTTTAGAGTCACTCATTTTGGAAAGCTTTATCATATTCATAATTCTCTATCAAACTTCCCTTCATAATCAGTAGTTTATCTGATGCTGAGGGTAGAAAGGCTGTGGTTAAAGCTGCTATGATTCCCTGGAACAAAGGCCAAGTGAACTTTTCAATCCTTCCTTCCTTCCTTCCTTCCTTCCTTCCTTCCTTCCTTCCTTCCTTCTTTCCTTTTTTGGCAGTACAAGGGATCAAGCTCAGGGCTTTCTTCAGGCTAGGTCACTGACTTACAAGAGATCTGAACATATACACACTTGTAGTTGGACCCAGGGCTGCTCAGAGGTCCCGAATATTTATCATAGCAATGATATTAAAAAATAATTGCTGTTGATATATGTACCATGTGTCAGGCACTTTCTCAACATGCTGTGTACGCTCCACGGTGGCCCTGTCAGCAGTCGTCTGAGGTAATGATGCTGTTGGTATTCTGTGACCTCAGTAGCCTAATGCCAGAAGAATAAATAGCACATAAGAGAGTGAAACCCATACTCAATCTTCTTTTGGGGGGAGGAGGCACACTTGGCTTTGAACTCAGGGCATTGCCTTTACCAGCCAGGGACTCCACCATTTCAGCCATGCCTCCAAGCTTCTTGGATTTATTTACTTTTCAGATAGGATCTCACTTTTTTTGCCCGGCACTGGCCACAGGCTATGATCTTCCTACCTATACTCCTGGAGTAGCTGGATTACAGATGTGAGCCATGGTGCCTAGCTTCATACCCAGATCTGGTGGGATCAAGTCCTTATTTCTAAGGTTTTTAAAGAGAACCCTTGAGATCCCTGAGGCCTTTCTAGGAGACCAACCAGGTGATATTTTTCCCAACTGTGTATCCATCCATGTTAGACAATAGCTTTTCTATATATAGATATATATATCTATATCTCTATAGCTATCTCTATCTATCTATCTATCTATCTATCTATCTATCTATCTATCTATCTATCTATCTATCTATCTATCTATTTGGTGCTCTGGGTTGAACCCAGCACCTCACCTCATGCATGCTAAGTATACAAATACTACTGGCCACACCCCATCCCACCCTCTTCCGGTGGCTAAGTATACAAATACTACTGGCCACACCCCATCCCACCCTCTTCCGGTGGCTCAATCAGAACTTCTTGGCATTAGAGTGAGTGCAGAGGCACATAGAAAAGGTTTAGTTGTCTTCAAAACAGACAATTAAAAGGTTTGCAAAATTGTAAACAATGCAGCCCTTCTCTCAAAGTGCCTGGTATATTTCAGGAAATACAATTGTCCTGAAAATGTTCTGTTAAACTGAGTACAGGTGTTTTACTCCGGTAATTGTAGCTTCTCAGGAGATTGAGACCTATGGATCATAGTTCAGAGCCAGCTCAGGCAGAAATGTCTGTGAGACTCCATCTTCAATGAATCAGCAAAATGCCAGACTAGAAGTGTGGCTCAAAGGGTAGAACACCAGCCATGAACAAGCAAGATGAGAGGCCCTGAATTCAAGCCCCAATACTAGCAAACGCCAACAACTAACAGTTCTATTCAGGCCTGGCATGGTGGTGTGTGCCTATAGTCCCAGTTCTGAGGAGGCTGAGATAGGAGGCCCTCAGGTGCAGGCTAGCTTGGACTTCAGAGCCAGACTGTCTCGAACAATAAAAATGTAGTGCACACCTATATTTTAAATTATCAGCTATAATTTCCGACCTGTTAAACATTGACATCGATCGTGTAGACAGAAGCTGTCAAGGATCCTCAATAATTTGGGTGTGACAGACTGTGTCCCTGCCCGCTTTGGCTCATTTTGTTCTCTGCTGAGCTTTTCTATGCTCACGGCCTAGTGATCCCATTATTCGCCATTCTTTGTTTCACTTGGGGGCAGAGCTTAATGGTCAATTCTTTCTTTTTTAGGTAGAGAGAGCCATCCCCCTGCCACCTAAAATCTTTCAACTCTTTTCCAGTGACATTTATGGGAGCTTCTCTATGCAGGCTCTTGGAGAATGGATTGAAGTCTTTTTTCTTTTTAATGCTGACAGAACACTGGCTCTACCACTGAACTTGACCATCGCCCCCCCCAGCCCTGAATGAGGGGCCTTCAGTAGCAAGCTACACGTTGTCCTCTTTCTCTTGCCAGCTGTTCCAGCTGTTCTGTCTGCTCTAGCCTGAAGCGTCAGTGTGTTCATGAGACCTCCCTGCAGGCAGAGGCTCCCCTGCAAGCACCCAGAAACACCTGTGAATAAAACTAATCATAGCTGGGGACCCGCAGCTCACACCGGTCATCTTAGCTACTCAGGAGATTGAGATCTGAGGAGCATGGTTCAAAGTTAGCCCTGGCAGGAAAGTCTGTGAGACTTATCTCCAATTAATCAGCAAAATGCTTGAAGAGCTGTGGTTCAAGTGGTAGAGCACCGGTCTTGAACTAAAAAGATAGCGTCCAGTCCTTGAACTCAGACACCAAAAACAAATCATAGTAGGAGCTTCATTTTCATTAGCATACATTAGTTATACGAGGAAAGTGGGGGGCTCATTGTGCCTTCTTGCTAACCCAAACTCCTTAGGCTGGTTGCTGCCCTCCCAACAGAGCCTGTTTTTAATCTCACGGCCCATGCATTCAATTGTTTGGTTTGGGCTTGCATCATGAGAAGCTGTAAAGCGCACCAGCAGCATTTCCTTGAATCCTCAAAATGTCCTTGAGCAGTAGATGCATCACAGGCAAGAGAGTCCAGCCTGTAGGACATCACCCAGCTCCCCTGCTTTCCATGCTTCAGAATCACAGGGGCAGCTTTGAATCCCCAAGGCAGCCAGGCACTGTGTTCAGAGACCTGGAAATTTCCCCTGCTGAGTCTTACCACTTCCCCTGATGTGCCAGCATTATGGCAGCTGTGGCTCCTCCCCCCTCCCTTTTATGCATTTGGAACACAGGGGTTCTTGTTTTGTGTTTTGCCAGTATCAGGATTTGAACTCAGGTCCTCATGCTTGCTCAGGTGATGTTCTACTATTTGAGCCTCACCTCCAGCTTTTTGCTAGTTAATTAGAGAGAGAGAGTCTTGAAGGCTTTTCTCTCCAGGCTGGCTTTGAACCGCAATCCTTCAGACCTCAGCCTCCTGAGTAGCTAGGATTATAGACGAGAGTCACCAGACTAGAACACATGAATTTGATCTGCAGTTCCTAGTAGGAAAGTTTCCAAAGCTCTTGTTTTTTAGATTAGACATAGAGAAGGAAGTCCTTCACATCACCCCTCAGGGTGACCAGACAGTGTCTCACCTAGAATGGCAGGAGGAACAGCTCTGTGGATCTGCTCCCTCTTTCAGCTGAGTTTGGTGTCCTCAGGAATCAGGTCTGCTCACAGGAGCAGTCAGTTAAGGCATGAAGCACATCTAGTAACAGCCGTGTTTAATCACTGCCGGGTGGGGACTGTCTTCCACAGCTCTGAGAAGAAGTTCTGCTCCGGGACTGGCTGGCCTTCGTTTTCAGAGGCTCACGGTACTTCCGGCTCCGATGAAAGCCACACGGGGATACTGAGACGTCTGGACACCTCCCTGGGATCTGCACGCACCGAGGTGGTCTGCAAGCAGGTGACTTGCGTTGTTATGTTTTCTCTGATTCCACCAAGCGTGCTACAGGGAGTTTTCCGGTCCTTGGCACCCCCGCTGCTCATCCCGCAAGGCACCCTGTCATCAAAACAATTGGATGGGTACTCTCACCCTAGAAGGGCCCTTCCTAGCCCTGGGCCCTCAGATAAGAGTGAAAGGCTTTCCTCTAAGCCCTGGCTGAGAATAGAACAGAAAGTGGAAGGAGCTGACCTTTGACATTCCTGTGATTGGCCCCTCCCGACAGCCTAAGGCTGCTGCTTTGACTCACTTAGGGGCAGAACATCCTTCCTGGAACCCAGTATGGACGATGGCTTAAATCAAGACAGCAAACTCATCTTCATATCCTTGGCCACTTACATTTCCTGGTGCGTGGATTTGTTTTTGTTGTTTATTTGTTTCTTTTCATTTTTTTTTTTCTGGATCTGAACCCAAGGCCTTACAGTAGGCTTTTTTCACTCAAAGTTGTTGCTCTACCACTTAAGCCACATCTCCATTTCTGGCTTTTTGCTGGCTATTTGGAGTAAGAGTCTCTCTGACTTTTCTGGTGGCCTGGCTCACAACTGTAATGCTTAGAGCTCAGCTTCTTGGATAGCTAGGATTACAGACGTGAGCTGCCGCTGCCTGGTGGAATCATGGGTTTTATGAGACAGCAGAGGCAAGCAGATAAAAGTAGCATAGTTAGTTTTGCCTTCAGTAGAGGAAAAAATGCACACTGTCAACCACACGTACTGAGACTTACCCAGGAATTGTTAATATTAACCTGATTTGTATTGTTTCCATTCATAAATAGGTAAAATTATTGCCTCCATTTTATATATGAGCAAGTCAAGGTCTAAATTGAATAATTCACCCCCATTCACACTGATAATACAGGCATACTCACCAGTACTGGGTTGTTTATTCTTTCATTTTGTAATCAGTTTTAGTCTTTTTTGGTGCAGGTACCGGGACCTGCACTCAGAGCTGAGTTCTGTCCCTTAACTTTTTCACTCGAGGCTGGTGCTCTACCACTTGAGCCTCACCTCCACTTCTGGCTTTTTACTGGTTACTTGAAGATAAGAATCTCATAGACTTTCCTGCCTGGGCTGGCTTCTAACCATGGTCTCAAATCTTAACCTCCTGAGTAGCTAGGATTATAGGTGTCACCAGCACCCAGCTACAACCAAATTCTGATGAAAGAGACTTTGCTTCCTGTGTGGATTAGACTCTGGCGTGGGGTGGCCAGGCAGGCTGTCCATCTGGTTTTATAGAAACAGCTTTGTCTGAGAGTAACAGAACCCTCTCTCCTCTGCAGTGTGATGCTCATCTTGGCCATGTGTTCCCCGATGGACCTGCGCCCAGCGGCCAGAGGTTTTGCATCAACAGTGTGGCACTGAAATTCAAAGCAGGCAAACACTGACCCTCTCCAAGAGGCACTCCTTTGCCCCTCCCTCCCTCCCTCCCTCCTTCCCTCCCTCCTTTCCTTCCTTCCTTCCTTCCTTCCTTCCTTCCTTCCTTCCTTCCTTCCTTCCTTCCTTCCTTCCTTCCTTCCTTCCTTCCTTTCTTTCTTTCTTTCTTGGTTATGGAGCTTGAACTCTGGGCTTAGGCACTGTCCCTCAGCTCTTCAGCTCAAGGTGAGCACTCTACCACTTGAGCCACAGCACTACTTCCAGTTTTCTAGTGGTTTATTGGAGATAAAAGAGTCTCACGGACTTCCTGTCTGGGGTGTCTTTGAACCATGATCCTCAGATCTCAGCCTCCTGAGTAGCTAGGATTACAGGCATGAGCCACTGGCACCCGGCTCCTCTGCCCCTTTCTTGTGGGCAGCCCAGAGATTTTCAGAATTCAGATGTATGACTCTTTTTAATTTTTTTTAAGGACGAAATGAGACTCACCTTGTTTAGTGAGCCACTCTCACTGGGGCTGTGGAATTCCCCAGTCCTGACTATGGAGGGAAATGACAGCCAGGTCCTTCTACTGCTTTGAGAGGACCATAGGGTTCAACTCTTGGGCGGCACCAGGAAGCTCTGGGGCAGAGTTAAAGCATTTCTACAAAATAACTCTGACTTCGACATTGTCCTGGAGTCCTTTGCGAGCACATAGAACATGAGGGAAATGTGTGATTTCTTTTCAAAATTTTAAATCTCTCAAAAGACTTCAAATGGTGGCACGCAAATCAGCTACTCGAGTTTGCTAAACATTACCCTCTCACCGTCTGGCTATGGAACGAAACATTAAAGTGTTCAAATAAAATATTTATCAAAATTGATGTTTGCTTTTTGTCTGCCTGTGAATTTCCTTTCTATAAACCTGACTCTAAATTGAAATAACACAGAAGAATCAATATTAATGTGTAGAGTTGATATTATTTACCTACAGTCTGGTCCATTTTGTTGTTATTTTTCCCAGAAATGCCACATTTTCCCTTCTGTGCTTATTTTTCTTCTGCCTGAAGAAAACTTTATTTTCCTTTTAGAACCTGTTTCCTAGTGATGAATTTCTTCATTGTTGTGGATAAGAAAAGGTATTTATTATCTTTTTTGTTTTTTTAAGACCTGGGGATTTTTTTTGGGGGGGGGGAGGCCAGTCATGGGGCCTGAACTCTGGGCCTGGGCGCTGTCCCTCAGCTCTTCAGCTCAAGGCGAGCGCTCTACCACTTGAGCCACAGCACCACTTCCGGCTTTTTTCTTTTTGCTTATGTGGTGCCGAGGAATCGAACACAGGGCCTCTACCCAAGCGCTCTACAACTGAGCCACCTTCCCAGCCCCCTAAAGAACTAGGGATTTTAACTCAAGACCTCACACTCACTAGGCAGGTGAATACCATTTGAGCCATGACCCAGTGCTTTTGCTTTTCGTTTGTTTTTCAGGACCAGTATCACACCTTGGCCCACATAGGCCTCTGACTAATCCTTCTACCTATGTCTCCTGGGTAGCTGAGATGATAGGTGTGTATCACCTTACTCTGCCTATTCTCCTTTCATTTTTGAAGTATTTTTAATTTGGAGATTTTAATTTGAAGAATGGAAATTTTTTCCTACAGCTAGCCAGTTTCACAGGACTATTTGTCAAAAACTTAATTTCCATATGAATAAAGGTCTGTTTCTAGATTCTCTCTAAAATTGAATATTTTAAAAAATTCCTTGGCAGTTCCTTGTAGTTCTGTATCTACAAAATCCTGCTAGAATTTCATATGAAAATATTAACTAAATCAATTTGGAGACAGTTGACATCTTAGTATAGTGAATCTCCCAATCCAGGCACCTAGTATATGTCTCCATTTATTTACATCTTTAGTTTTGATATAAATATTTCATCATTTTAGAATATGGATATTATACATATTTCCTTAAATCTACCTAAGATATTTTAATTTTCAGGGAAATGCCAGTTGAGTTAGGTTGATGCTAGAGAAAACAATGCAGAGTGGATGGCCAACCTCCCAGGAGGGGGCGCCACACACAAGGTTTCAGAGAGACAGTTCCACACACAGTCCAATAGGGCCAGAGAGAAGGAAGGGAATAATAGGAGGTCAGAATACATATCTACAGTGACCTAGCTTCTGTCTCCATATGGAAATGTGTCTGGGCATTACTCAACATCCTTTCAGTCTTTGGGAGTGGTATTAATTCCTTTATTTGTTCCTCCATAGGAGACCTTTATTTACTACAGTAATTAACTGTAAGCTAAGAGCAGAGAACCATCTAGAAGTATTAGAGTGTGTTGGATTAAGCTCTCGTCATCATTGGTTGGAAGGGCCCCATCTCACTGGGCATGTCCTAAACAGAGACAAGCCAGTCTGGATCAGAGTCGTCTCTCAGGGGAGCTCCAGAGTCCTTGAGCCACCGTGGGGTCCTTTTACCAGTCCCTGAGGACATATCCAGGCCTCCCTCATGAGATAGCACATGCTTTTCCTGAGCTGTGCTCAGCAGAAATCTCCCCACACACACACTGCCCCCCCCCCCCAAATTAACTGCTTCCTTCAGCCTACAGAAAGAACTTGAAGCATGTGACGTCGCAGGAAGCAGGGCGGAGATTAGCTAGATCTGCAAGAAATTCATTAGGATTAAAAGAAAAGGAAGCCTGGGGTGCACAGCTGCCTTTTTGTGTGGAATCACTTTCCTTCAGCTCAGCTTACGCACTTTTGACCTTGAAAATGTGACCAGTGACACTCACTTGCACACATAAGACAGTGGAGAACTTGCCAGGCTGTTGCTCTGTCAAGGCAGAGGCCAGATGGATCAAGATTTTGACATCTGCTTGGGTGAAGACCTCATTTCAACCAACCAAAATCTGGGCTTCGTGTCTTGCACCTGTTATATTAGCTGAGTTAGAAGCATAAAGAGGATCAAGACCTTAGGCTGGTCTCAGGATAAATTTGAGAGCATGCTTGAAAAATAAAGTCAAAAGGGATGGGGGTATGATGGGAGAAGGAAAACACCTGCCTAGCAAACACAAGGCTCCAAGTTCAAGTCCAGGAAGCCTTGTGTGTGTGGTGTGTATGTGGGGTGTGTGTGTGTGTGTGTGTGTGTGTGTGTGTGTGTGTGTGTGTGTGTGTGTGTGTGTGTGTGTGTGTGTGTGTGATGGGGTTTGGACACAGGGCCTGGGCACTGTCCCTGAGCTCTTTTTGCTGAAGGCTAGCACTCTACTTTGAGCCATAGCACCACTTCCGGTCTTCAGGTGGTTAATTGAAGATTCCCATGGACTTTCCTGCAATCCTCAGATCTCAGCCTCCTGAGGAGCTACGATTGTGAGCCACTGGTGCTGGCGGGAAGCCTGTTTTTAAGGAGCTCCAAATATGGCCATCATATAGAGGTGACTGTGGCCTAACTCTGCCTTGGCAGAGGCCTTCCACGATGTTACCTATCCCATAATGCAATGACCACTGTCCTCAAGATTCTCATCTATCCCATAGTGACACCACAAGATGTCCCATGAGACACCACTGGAGCTTCTGGACTCTAGAAAAGAGTTTGATTCCCTGATTTGAAGACTCCAGCCAGGGAGGGACTCTACCAGGAGTCTACACGGGTCAAACTCTGCTTCCTCTGGTCTTCCCTCCCGTCCCCCGCCCCAAAAGCTTGCTCACCGAGGTCCCTACTCCACTTCTGAGAGCCGGGAAGGAAACTAATTGGCCTGAGATATTTGGTCCACTCAGCCTCCCTGTTTCTGAGCCTCTCTGCTCATTTCCTTTTGATGGAGGATCCGTGTGGATGCCCTCCTGTCACTGTGTTGTGATAGATTTGGGTCTGGGAAGTTCTCCTGAGCCTCAGAGTTCAGGATATCCTGAAATCAGACTCAGGAATAAAAGAGTCATGCCTGTTGCCTTTAGATGCTGACTGTAGGATGTGGATTGTGCTGAGATTGGGGGTGGAGGGGAGATAGTTAGTAATGGAAGTAGTAGACTGATTTGGCAATGCTTTATGCTCTTTTTTTTTTTTTTTTAGCATGAAGCCCTTGAAAGAATTTTCTTTGGAAATGTTAAAAAAAAAAATCTGAGCCAGACACCGGCGGCTCACGCCTATAATCCTAGCTACTCAGGAGGCTGAGATCTGAGGATCGCAGCTCAAAGCCAGCCCGGGCAGGAAAGACTGTGAAACTCTTATCTCCAATGAACCACCAGAAAACTGGAAGTGGTGCTGTGGCTTGCTGAAATGCTGAGGGACAGCGCCCAGGCCTAAAGTTCAAGCCCCACAACCAACAACAACAACAACAACAAAAATCTGAAATGAACCTAGCACCTTAATTATGCCTTTTTGTGATTCTGTCAGCACTGTCATCTACTGAGTAATTCTGTCACTGTGCCTGAGGAGAAGAACTTTAGACCACATTTAAAACATCTAGCTTGTTCGGGTAGGGGGAGGGGGTCTCAAGAACAATGAGCAATTCAAATAACCTGTTTTCTATGTTTCCCTGTACAAACATGGCGGTGTGGTCTGAGGCCCGCTCACTCAGCGCTGGGGTTCATTCATGAGCGCATCATTAACTTGAGAACTGGATGCCCTCTCTGAGGAGGTACATCTGGGGACCATAGGTAACCCCAGGGCACCATCACCATCACTGGGGCCAGATGGCTTAGTAAGAAACCACCTGGCCAAAGAGAATGCAGAAAAACATGTGTGTGTGTGTGTGTGTGTGTGTGTGTGTGTGTGTGTGTGTGTGTGGATTTCCATCACTGGGATAGAATAGCTGACAGAAGCAATTGTAAGTGGAGGTCTCAGTCTCCTTCGGCTCATGGATTCAGAGGTGACAATCCGTGGTCAATTGGCTGCATTTTATTTTTTCTGTCACTTTTGTTTTAGTGATCTGACTTGTACACAGGGATTTCACATGGTATTTCTCACATGCTGTATTGTATTTCAGTCCAATAACCCCTTCTATTGCTCTCTATCCCTGTCCCTCAGCCTCATTGTCAGCCTTCAGTGCTTCTTCGTGCCGTCTTTATACAGAGACATAAGATATCTCCATGCTATTTGTTCTCCATCAGCCTTAGTCCCTCTCTCCCCATCCAGTTCAAATATGTGTACATTCATAAATTTCTAATAACAAAAGTAAAATATCCATTGACCCACTTTTGAGAGTATCAGGAAACCGAGATTGGTGAAGAAAAGAACAGATCTCAATATTACTCTTTTCTTTTTTTACATGGATATACTTGAAGACTGCAAAGCCACTGATTTTGGAGAAGTTCCTTTTTGTTTGGTTGGTTTTGGTGCCAGTACTGGAGCTTGAACTCAGGGCCTGGGTTTTGAGCTTTTGTGCTCAAAACTAGCATTCTACCATTTAAGCCATAGCTCTACTTCTGGCTTTTTTTGGGTGGTTGATTGGAGATAAGAGTCTCATGGACTTTCCTGCTCTGGCTGGCTTTTAACTGCAATCCTCAGATCTCAGCCTCTTGAGTAGCTGGAATGACAGGCATAAGTCACTGGCACCCAACCCTGGAGAAGTTCCTTTTTGTAGAAGTAATGTAGATACTACATGGAATGAAAGATAATCTGGATTACTGTTATGAAATAACGGACTTGGCATTCGAGAGAACAGGACCTTGTTCTCTGGAACACTAGAGAAATAAAGGCAGGAACAGTAAAACAAAAATTCAAGCAGAAGACAGTTTGTTGAAAAGCATTCACAAAAGCTACCTAGAAGAACAGACAGGGAGCAGATTGGAAGGAAGGGCGGGCAGGCTCGGGGTTATTGAATTATTCCAGAGGAAGATAATCTTTAGACTGGAGGGGTGCCAGTGTGGGATAGAGAGTATGGCATTAGAGCA